CAAAATAGGTCTATTTACATTTTAGATGGAGTGTTCCACATCATAGACTTCTAAGAATTGCAAGGCTACTTTTTCCTCATCAGTTTTCTGTGAATTCCGAATATAGTTTCTCTGACTTACTCAAGCCCCTTCGCCACGACAAGGCAGCAATCCATGAAGGGGGAATATAGCTCTAGAAGAATCTAAAGGGGAAAAATACACTTCTAATTGGGGGATTTCTACTAAGTCAAGTGTCATTCCTCTGGATCATGAGAAAAGAATTTAGATGCTATAAACTGTTGTGTTTTAAAGCTACTATTTATAGAACTAGAAGGGAAATCCATCCACCTTGTCCCCTGTCGTCCCCTTCTCCTCTTGCCTTCATACTTTCCCAACATCAGGGTCTTTTTCAGGGAGTCTTCTCTTCTCATCAGATGGCCAAAGTATTGGAGCCTCAGCTTCCGGATCTGTCCTTCCAGTGAGCACTCAGGGTTGATTTCCTTCAGAATGGGTCGGTTTGTTCTCCTTGCAATCCAGGGGACTCTCAAGAGTCTCCTCCAGCACCACAATTCAAAAGCATCAATTCTTCGGCAGTCAGCCTTCTTTATGGTCCAGCTCTCACTTCCATACATCACTACTGAAAAAACCATAGCTTTGACTATGCGGACCTTTGTCGGCAAGGTGATTCTCTGCTCTTTAAGATAATTCTTCTGGCAATCTTAATTGCGGTTTTGGATTCCTCCAGTCCAGCCTTTCGCATGATGTATTCTGCATATAAGTTGAATAAGCAGGGGGACAATATACAGACTTGTCATACTCCTTTCCCAATTTTGAACCAATCAGTTGTTTTTATCCAGTTCTAACTGTTGCTTCCTGTCCACGTATAGCTTTCTCATGATGTGATAGGAATGGTAAATTTTGTTGGACGACATAGAACTAGCGATCGCTCCTTAATTATCACTGTATGATAGCTCCATTATGTTATTGCGCTGGCAGAACAAATCAGCATTCTAGAAGACAATTGTAAAAATATGGCAACCAAAATAAAACCTTATAACTTTGAAACTGGATTTCAGATCACCACCAAATTTAGCACAGATAAAGCAGAGAGCCTTCTTTCCCTCTGGACCAATTTTGGACAAAGGATTTTCAAGTTGTGATTTTTTAAAAAGTAAAAAGGTCAAATCATTCATGAAGCCTAGATGTGATTTCAGACTACTTCAGTGGAGATTCAAGTACAGTATGTGTATTCCCCAGATTTGAAAGTGCCAAGATGTCCAGACTGTGCTACTGTATGAATTGCACTAGGATAAATAAATGCATGAATTTGATATGCAAATTGGTAGCAATTTTTTAAAAAGGGTAAAGTGGAAAGTTGGTCATAAAAACTGTAGACATTTTAGATTAAAAGTACTATATACAGTGGTATCTCGACTTACAAACTTAATCCGTATTGGAATGGTGTTCGCAAGTCGAAACGTTTGTAGGTCGAGGCACCATTTCCTATAGGAATGCATTGAAAACTGATTAATGCATTCCAGGGGAAGAAAAAACACACACACAAAAACACTGCAAGTCCCATGCTGGGACAGCAAAAAACCAAAAAACAAATAAATCCAAAAATAAATATTAGAGCAAGTCCCATGCTGGGATTGCAAAAAAAAAAAAATTACAGAACCATACCCGCCAGCCGAAACCTACCCTCCAAAACCCACCCAGATCAATTTTTTTAAAGGAAAAAAGAGCATGTATCCATCTGAAACCTCCTGGGGGTCTCCCGCCGCTGCAATCGCCGCTGCTGTGATGACAGCCTCTGTGAGGCTTGAGCCTGGCCAGGGTGCTTCGGAAACTTGCCCCCCCGGCTGCAGCAGAGGCAGCAGTCGCCCAGCGCCAGGAGACTTGAGCTAGCCAGGTTTCGACCGCTTGCCTCCCGGCTCACCTGCCACTTGCTCTGTGCCACCCTCTGTGGGCCCATGGTGGCCAATTCAAATGGTGGAGGGCAGCGAGGAGCGAGCGGGAGGTGAGCTGGGAGGGAAATGGCCAAAAAAACCTGGTCAGCTCAAGCCTCTTGGTGCTGGGTGACCGCTGCCTCTGATCGTGGTGGCAGGGGACACTCGGGCAGCTTCCCTGCCACCATCAGAGACCTCCTGGGGGTCCCCTGCCACCACGATCGGTGCCTTCAGAGGTCTCCACAGGCCCCTGGGGGTCCAATTGCGGCGGCGGGGGACCCCCAGGAAGTCTCTGCTGGTGGTGACTTCCCTGCTGCCATTAAAGACCTCCTGGGGGGTCCGATCACAGTGGCGGGGGAACAATTTTAAATTTCCCGCCCTTTTCCTGGTAGACCAGGGAGGGTTTCCCCTGGTAGGCACGGTCTACCCTTTGATAAAGCCTGAAGGTGCTGATCTGGTGGCGGGGGACCCCCAGGAGGTCTCTGATGGCGGCGAGGAAGCCCTGGGAGACCTCCTGGGGGTCTGATCGTGGCGGCGGAAAAGGGTGAGAAATTTTAAATTGCTCCCCCGTTGCTGCGATCGGACCTCCAGGAGGTCTCTGATGGCGGTGGGGAAGTCCTGGGAGACCTCCTAGGGCCTGTGATGACAGCCTCTGTGAGGCTTGAGCCTGGCCAGGGTGCTTCGGAAACTTGCCCCCCCGGCTGCAGCAGAGGCAGCAGTCGCCCAGCGCCAGGAGACTTGAGCTAGCCAGGTTTCGACCGCTTGCCTCCCGGCTCACCTGCCACTTGCTCTGTGCCACCCTCTGTGGGCCCATGGTGGCCAATTCAAATGGTGGAGGGCAGCGAGGAGCGAGCGGGAGGTGAGCTGGGAGGGAAATGGCCAAAAAAACCTGGTCAGCTCAAGCCTCTTGGTGCTGGGTGACCGCTGCCTCTGATCGTGGTGGCAGGGGACACTCGGGCACAAACTTAATCCGTATTGGAATGGTGTTCGCAAGTCGAAACGTTTGTAGGTCGAGGCACCATTTCCTATAGGAATGCATTGAAAACTGATTAATGCATTCCAGGGGAAGAAAAAACACACACACAAAAACACTGCAAGTCCCATGCTGGGACAGCAAAAAACCAAAAAACAAATAAATCCAAAAATAAATATTAGAGCAAGTGCCATGCTGGGACTGCAAAAAAAATAAATAATAATAAAAAAAATTACAGAACCATACCCGCCAGCCGAAACCTACCCTCCAAAACCCACCCAGACCAGGAGGTCTCTGATGGTGGCGAGGAAGCCCTGGGAGACCTCCTGGGGGTCTGATCGTGGCGGCGGAAAAGGGTGGGAAATTTAAAATTGCTCCCCCGTTGCTGCGATCGGACCTCCAGGAGGTCTCTGATGGCGGTGGGGAAGTCCTGGGAGACCTCCTAGGGCTTCCTTGCCGCCATCGGAGACCTCCTGGGGGTTCCCCTCCACCGCGATCAGACCCCCAGAGACCTCCGAAGGTGCTGATCACAGTGGCGGGGGACCCCCCAGGAGGTCTCCCCAGGACACCTCCCAGGGTCCCTGCCGCTATCAGAGACCTCCTGGGGATCCCTTTTCCCCTTGGGATGAAAGAGCAGCCTCTTTGCCACCAGTGGTTTGAATGGAATGAAAAAAGGCAGAGGAAATTTGAATTTCCCACCCTTTACCCCTGCCTTTTTTTCGTTCATAGGTCGAGGCTCCGTTCACAAGTCGATGCAAATTTTTGTGAATGAGTCGTTCGTAAGTCAAAATGTTCGTAGGTAGGGACGTTCGCAAGTTGAGGTTCCACTTTAGTAAGATCCCCATATTTGCAAGAGGTTGGTTCCACAATCTACTTTGGGTACCTGAAACTGTGGCTATAGGAACCTTGTGTATTTATATAACATAAAAGGGGAAGGGACAAAGTCCACATGGTGGCACCATTGTGTATTGTATATAGGGCTGTGGTAAACTACAGGAAAGTAAATCCACAGATACAAGGCGTTTGCATATGGGGGGTGTCCTACTGTAAAAGGAATACTAAAAGAAATTAGCAAAATGGACTGTCCCCCATTACAGATCACATAGGTTGACTAGAGGAGCATGATTACTTCCCACTAAAAATTTTTATTCATAGAGAAGTTATAGGAGAAAAATGTACCGGTAACCATCAATTTAAAACATTGGTTCTTTTAGTTTAACATGGTCTGTTGTGAGTAAGAGCAGTTCAGGGTATCAGACAGGAGCATTTTCCCTCCTGAAACTTGATATTTTATCAGCAGATATCAGGAATTGAAGCTTTTGGGAAGGGGTGTCACTGTTTTCCTTAATGGTAATCAAAGTTCCTTCTAAGCAGCATGTGGGGGGGGGAGACAGAGTCATGCGAGAGAAAGGTGGAGCCCTGCCAAGCAGGGTTGAAAATCAGTGGGTGCATTGATGGTAGTGTTTGTTGGTTGTACTATTGCCTGGTAGAGTCTCTGTTGCACTCTCTGTTTTTGGGGAGGGCAGCTTTTACGGTTCTTTAGGGCTTTTTTTGCAGCAGAAAACGTGAATGAGAAAAAACAAAATGAAATGACTTGAAAGACGACAGTCCCTTTTGTTATAATAAAGGGACTAGTATGTAAAATAAACACAAAAATGAAAGAGCCCCTCTCAAAGAAACCAAAGAAAAGCAAAACATTTTTGCTATGCATATCCCCGCTAAATGGTGGTTGTGAGAACATGACTAGAAAGGTGAAGAGTAATAAATGTTCAAGTGCTGTGTGTAGAAAGACTTTAGCTTATAGGGTTGTTTGTGCAAGCCTTTCGTATGTCCTAATAGTGTGGTAAGAGTCATTACAACAATCAGTTGCAAGTCATAGCAGAGCTCAAAACATGCTGATGCAGTTAGTTGCATTTTAATAAATCATTGACTCATCTGTAAGACTCTGACCACTCTGGAGATAAAAAGCTAATGTTCTATTGGCCACTTAAGGTAAAGTATATTGAGAAATAGTATAATAATTAACAAAAGTAATGGAAATGTGCCTTTTGAGTTCCAAGCAGTAAATCTCAGTTGCAGATGTTATCTTTAGTACCATTCAGTCTTTTAAAAAACTGTACCATAGGATCAAAAAGTAATTGTAAAGCAGGTTTTCCTAAGTCATGAGAGAACTGTGCAATAGCAGGTGTTTATTAAAGACATATAACCTTAACTATAATATCCTGTTGTTTCTTAGCTCTAAATATATTATCACAGATTCTTATAGGCATATGATTTTAATGGAAGAAAGCAGGGCAAAGAAATCTGCACTTGTCTAAAAAGCATTTTGTAAAAATAACTGCCTTCTTCCTTTGGACTGAAATGTTCTATGTATGTTGGAGTCTATACCAAAAGTCAGATTTTAGGCTGTTAGTTGCAGTTCTTCGGATTAATTTCAATTGATGAGGAGCAAGGTCAGTACATGGTTGATTGAATCTTGCACTTCTTGGTTATAATAATGTGGTGACTGAGGCTGATCACTTGGTTGGTGAATGCCTCAAAGGTTTTACATGTGATAAACCATACATTTAGTTTTGCCCTTATTGGTATAAGCTCTGGTTTTGCATACTCTCCCAAACAATCTTCAGTCACAAGATCAGGCGCTTTTGCTTTCTGTTTTAAATTAACCATGAACTGTCATTAAGTTAAATGTGGGACATATTAGTTTGTCCAACAAGCAGACTTCAAATTATACCTTACAATCCTGGCCTGTTTTTGACAAACCATAGTTAAATCCATAGTTCTTGATTTGGAACCACAGTTATATGAGAATAGAAACAGGTTTCTCATCTTCTTGTGGTGGTGCCTGAAAGATGGAGTTAGATTGCATGATCAAGGTCTGCCCAGAGCCATTTCCTTGGTGATACAGATTTGCGATCAAAACCTTGTTGTAGCCATCCCCAGTCTTGACAGTTACAATGCAATCTTGAATTTACGATTTGGGTGGTGAGATAATCACCTACTCCAGATGAATTTTTGTATAGCTGTAAATGATAAAGTTGTTTTACACTGTTCCTTAAATGAAATGTATATTGTTTTTTCTTTAGATGCAGTTTAGTAAGAAGAAATCCAGGAATTTAAGCAGGAGTCATAGCTTCTTGAAACTTATTTCTTTGATTATATGAAATTAATTTGAACGTAAGTGCTTTCTTTTTATGTTTCATTGAATTTAATTCCTGCAAGATTGACATGAACACATCCCAGTTAGTTCATACAGGAAAACAGCATAAACCTGTTGTGGATATACCAAGATTGAGCACTAGATGAACATTTCTTGGCAGCAATTTAGATTGCTTGTTTGCACCTGTGATGTCTCTTCTTAGGATTCAGAATCTGAGATTCTGCTCATTTTATCACAGGTATTTCTCTTTGCTTGATTTTCTATTTCTGAACCAATTTTGAATGAACCTATTTCAATATTTAATAGGTAACATTAACAGAAAATAGGCTAGCATGTATGCATATGTGTATATATGCATGTTTGCATACATGATGTGGATAAATAACAGTTTTTTAAAAATCAGATTGATTTAACTCACAATTAGATGTTGTCTAGAGGGGCGGGGTAAAAATCAAATAAATAAATAAAATAAATTTAAAAATGATTTTTTTTTAAATTTAGATCATCAGTAAATCTGATTTTTTTAAAAAAAAATGGAAACAGTTCAGGGGTACATGTGAGTGATTCAGATATAGCTAGGGATTTCAGTGGGAAAGTGAAGCTTTCTTGTGATATATACTGTATTGATTTTTCTTAAATCACAACAATGAAAGAATATGATTTTCAGCAGGATTCCCATTCAATTAGTATGCTTAACTCTTTTCCAAGAAGATTGATAGACAAAGTTATTAACCATGATTTGGTTATCCTTATCACTGGATTAATTTTAAAATGTATGTGGGTGGGTTGGTAGGCAAGTACAGTAGGTAGGTATATATCCCTATGTAGGTTTTCTTTGTATGTTTTTCTTATTGTTTGGTGACCTCTAATGGGCAGCTAAGAATCTGCATTAAATGTTTTTTGATAAAATGTAGGAAGTGTCTTTTTTTTATTACTGCTTTCTTGCATTTCTGTTTTTGGTTGGGAGAGTGGATAAAAACAAATGCTAGGTGGGTTTAATATATACTATGTTTGTTTTAAAATTATTTCCAGGGAATAAAGTATATGAAATTCTACCAGAGATCTTGAACTCATAATTTCAAATGAATGGCTTCTGACTTCTCTCAGTATGTACACTCTGCAACCAGTTCACTGGACTACTGACATGACAGATGGTACTCTGCACTTTGCACTGTGGTGTTAAGCCTCAAGATAGGGATAAAATGAAAACCGGATTGCTTTATTTCAATGAAAATCCCATCTGGAAGGGTTTTTTTTTACTGACTTTGTCCTCTTGTCTTCATATTTTCTCATGAAACTAGATATTTCAGTAACTATTAACAGACAACCTGAATTTTAGAGACAATAATACTATTTTTAAAAGTCTGATGCTGGTGAAAATTGTTTCCCTGATTTGCTGTGACTTTTTATTTGGGTACAAAGGTAATGAGCTGCTCCCTAAAATAGTCATGTTTAAATTATCACATATTCATAGTAAAACATAAAAATGACTGTTGAGAATCCATGGTATTCTTGGGTTTTTATATAATATGAACTAGAGCATAATATTAACTTTGAAGTGGTAGAATACCTGAAATTTCATACATTTATCACAAAAAGTGTAAATTATAGTTTGTAGCGAATTTTGTTAGAAACTGTAAAACATGCCTGGAATTTTGATAGTTATTTTTTAATACTCGATCAGTTCAAAGAAATGTTCCTTTGAATGACTTATGAAACTTTAAGTCTTAAATGAATTATTTGAGATGTTGTGAATAATTGAAAATGACATTTTTGGTATTTTGTGTAAAATGAACCATTGCATTAATTGTGTGAAGCTATAATTTTCTCTATACACAAATACCTGAAAGAAGAACATGTCTGGAGCACCTCAAATCCATATTTTCTATGGAGCACCCATTCTTCCAGCGGTTGTTGAGAAATCCAGAGAAGAGAAGTTTTCAACAACAACTTCTGGAATGTGGAGAAAACTTTGTATTTCATTTACCAAAGACACTTCTTACTTTGATACTAGAAAATGCAGGTATCCTGATCATGCAGAGTGTCAGATGCTGGATGATGCTGGCCACTCCAAAGATCCATTAACAGCAAAAAAATGTAGATTGCCAGATGTTTTATTCACAGGCTCTGCAGCTGATGTTAAAAGTATAGAATCCTTCAGCAATAAAACTAAGGAAAGGGATAAGTCAGCTAGCAGCATTCATCTTGCCTTTGGAAGTACAAGCAAAGAGAACGACATGAATTGTCTTACATGTGATCAGCTTCCCAGTCAATTAAAAATAAGTGAACAACGAGGCAGAAAATCTGAAGATGCTGAAGGAGAGGCCAGCTGCACTGTATGCAGTCACCTTGATATTTCTCCCTGGACTTTTCTCACTTCTCAGGCTGATAAGCCGTTAGATGTCCAGTGTGATTCTCCCCAACTCCTGAGTCAATACCTAGAGATACATCCACAAATAATGGGAGAATCAAAGCCTGGAAAAACATGTAATGTGTCTTCAAGCCTTGCCATATCAACAGACACTGAATTTCATAGTATTCTGGCTGCAAGCCAAGTTGCTTTACTTTCAGGAAGGTGTGTTGTAGGACAAAATGAAATACAAAGCAAATCTGCAAAGAGGACAGGAATGAAATTGTTTGAACCTCAGAGGAATGATGAAGTAGCTATAGATTCATATGTTCCATTAAAAGAGATTAATGATCTGACTGCTGATATTAAAGAAATAAATTGTAGAAATAACTATGAGAGCTCTCTTGAACTCTTTGATTCTGATAGTCCTGTGAAAGAGAATTCACTTCTGGAAGAAACTGACCTTCACGATAAAAATGGAATACCTGCAGGCCTTCTGCATTTACCTGATGTTAAGCCTAGTTATGCATTATATTATACTGAACCACTGAAGAAAGCAATGCTGTACTCTGAAGTTCATCACTCTGCTAAAAGGTCCCAAGCATTTGAAGATACTCTATCTACATTTAACATTGCAGCTGGAGACCACCAGCAAACAAAGAAAGTCAAGTTGACTTCTTCTCCAGTTAATCCAGTTCTACTGGGACAGGGAATTTCACGTTTTCAGAAAGTTCTGAAATACCCATCATTGCTTAAGGACTGTTTCTGCAAAAGCAAGAAATACACTGTTTTGGTCACTGTACTGCATCCGTGCCATATCAAAGAAATACAGATAAAGCCAGGAACAAAATTGGCATCAAAAGTCCCATTAGCCACAGTTGTTGTGTCAGATCAGTCCGAAATTCAACTGAAAGTTGTGTTGTGGAGAGCATCAGCCTTTTGGTCACTTACAGTCTTTCCTGGAGACATTGTACTATTCACAGGTAAGGAACATTCTTTTTCAAGTATATTTCTCCAACTCTAGTATTTTTACCTGAAAGAAGCCCATTTCTTATGCTTATTTTTCTCATAAACTAAACTCCAGGTTTTGATATTTGAGAGCATTGTGAATATGAAACAGGTGTTTCTGTAGACACAGTTGTATACAAAGTAAAGTATGACCTAGTGCAGCCTTCACTAACTTTTTCACTCATGAGGGTTAGCATTATCCAGTCACTAGAAGATAGTGTCCATCTTTTGTTGCATCAGTTCATATATGACATTCCCTATTGGGTTGTTATTTGTGATTAATTTGAACTATTTGAACTGGAGAAAAATGTATAATTAGATCTTGTATTTTAAATGAACCTTATCTTGTAAATTGAGGCATAAATATACTGAGATTTGTGTCCAGATTTGTAGTGTAGGGAGAATCAAGTCCATCAAGTAGAGAGAATTATCCATCTACTTAAGGCTTCATAGGTCTATGGAACTAGGGGGGGAGCATCTTAATACTTAACAGGTTTTGTATTTAAGTACCATAGTTACTTATAGTAACACTGTCCCTACTTTGTTTATTTTGAAAACTGTCTCAATTCAAGACAACAAAATGAATTGGAGCACATCTAATTTGGGAATTTTTCTCCCTTTGGTCTCTGTTTACTTAATGCAGAGGATCTGCCAAAATCCAGACTTGATGCTTAGAACATTGGCTGACGCATCCACTCCCTCCCTCTGTCCCAAATTCACTTTATGTTTGCAATTGACTATTATTTGCTCATGAACTCCAAACAGGTAAACACTAAGCCATATTTGCCCTTCAAACCAAACTGGAAACTATAGTGGGCTTCAGACTGGTTTTGAAGGTAAATGCTGACTAGTATATGCCAATTTGGGTATCGTGGCAAACAGTGGTAAAGAGCAGCTCTTTTCTGAAAATGCACAAATATCACAGTAGGGCACAAGAGATAGCATAGGACTGTGGTGCATTACCAATTCTCAAAAATGTGTTTGTCCCAATTAAGCTTATCTTACCTTTACCTTTAAGATGCTTGTTTGAGACATGCATTTTCCCCATTCATCTTCACCCATTTTATATTTGGTGTTGTCTTAGAAGAGGCATATAGCAATGAGGCATTCTCCACAAATGTGCTGTGAAGCCCCAGAGTAGTTTCCTAGTCCTGAAACCCTGCCACATCATCACATATTTTCTTGACTGAAACACTAAAAGCTAAAACGACTGTGACCTAAACAGATTATTTTTCTCTTTGTTATAGACCTTATTGTATATGAGAACCACTGGGCTGGGGAAAAAATGCTGCAGTCAACATCTACGACTCAGTTATTCAATTTTGGAAGCTGTTCAACTGTGAATCACAATGAATGTGAGAATCAATTTGTTTTATAGGAAGACCTCTTGTTTTCATTGATGTCTACTAAAGGAATCTAAATGTGATTTCCCAATTTTTATCACAATAGTTGTATTTTTTCATACTGTATGTGAGATACATGATCATTGGCTATTCAGCTTTGTTTTCCCATCCTACTCTGGCTATTAGCATATAACCCAGTACTATACTACAAACATCTGTACTCCATGATCTTGCTTAAGTTTCTTTCCATGCCATTCTTTCAGGCTAGGTATGGATATTAGGTTAAAAAAGAACTTTGATAGATTTGAAATGAACACTGTAATTGGTCCCAAATTGCATTCTACTGATGAGAAGAGATGGTCTTTCAATACTCATGACAAGAATGTTAATTAAATTCCTTGTTCTCCTCAACTTAACTATCTTGATAAGATGGGAAACCTTGATGAGGAATTTAAAAAAACCATGAGATACTCTGCCTCTAGTCAAGGGTGAGACAAAGAGCCCTTCCTCCCACAAAGATTTCTGTAATTTGTGTAAAAATGTCTCTAAAATTCTTTCTCTTTGAGAAGAACTCTGACACAAAGTAAACACAAATAAATTGGTAATTCCTAACAAAGATCCCAACCAGTGCTTTAAATTCTTAAATAAATAAGATTTTTTTACCAAAAAAAGAGACTTATATTCGCGAAGGCTTTCACAGCTGGGATCTAATGGTTTTTGTGGGTTTTTCTGGCTCTTTGGCCGTGTTCTGGAGGTTGTTCTTCCTAATGTTTTGCCAGTCTCTGTGGCCGGCATCTTCAGAGGACAGCAACCTGTGCTCTGACCAGATTATGAGATCTAAGCAGGTATTTATATCCAGTTTGATCCAAAATGGCTTCCCTTTGCTGGACTTCTTGCTTAAATGTTTGAGGTTATCTTGGTATCAGCAAAAGTGCAACTTGTATGTCTATTTATTTCTGAAATGAAGCACATGTTTGTTATACTTCCAACTAATATTTTTGGGCTAGAATTGCTATAAAATAACATGTAAACTGCATGGCTAAAAAAGTTATGATTTCCCCCCACCTCATTTTTTTCAAGTTTCCCATATAGTGGATGTTAACATTCTCCAAGATTTGCTGGCATACGTGTCCTCAAAGCACGCCTGTCTTCAAGCTCTCCCAGAAAGGAAGACCCAGACTCTGAACAATGTACAACATGTTGTACTAGATCAGCTCAAGCCAGATATTTTGGTACACCTGGTAGTGAAAATTGTTGACATCACTGTGTTAACAGGTAATCTGACTCTGGTATGGGGGTAACCATACTGTGTTCCCAAATGTATATGTAGAGGTTGAAAGGAGTCAAGGAGTGGTAATACTGATATACTTTGATATTCTAAGGTAATTCCATACTTGGGCTTTATCTATGTGACAGAAAGGCCAGTTAAGCATTTGAGTATAGCTGTCTTGACTGAGATATTCTCTTATCTGCCCCACTAATTATGCAAACATCCTGTCTAGAGCCATATCATGGAGAAAGATGGAACAGTTAATTCAGAGCAGGAGGCTTGAAATTTTCTTGTAGATAAGAAGTTCGTAAGTTGATTTGTGAGAGCAGCTGAGGTTTCTTCATTACAAAAATGTTTGTGTGTGGCATGCTCATATGATTACACAAAATACCTTGCCTAATATTTTCCGTGAGATCAGTAGTGTAATTCATGCGGTTAATAATGGAACTTGTGGATAAAATCACAATGTTCGGCATTAATATTTAACTTTGGAGAGAATAATAAGGGGTAAGTTGTGATTTCCTGAAATTTGTGCATGACTATAGGTATTGGTTGGCTTTTTGAGTGCAGCACATGTAGCAGATTAACTTTACCTGTACCTTTGGAGTGCTCAACTAACACAAAGTCTTTCTTTCTCTTTTTTCATCCAAGTTGAAGTCTTCAGAATACACATGATTTTCCTAGTATTCTCAAATATCCTTATTTAAAAATTTCAACGAGGGATCAGTCCCAAGCCCTCCCCTGCAGATGACGAAAAATGTTGAAGTGTCAAATGCTATACATTGCATGGTCTCTAGCTCCTTCTAGTGGCCAGTTTAAGTAATAAATGCATAAAAATACACATTTCTATGGGTTTTAATTTAGTATTTTCAGGCAGTGGGTAAGTGACTGGTCCCATGGATTGAGTGCTTCTACTGTCATTTTGAAATAATTTTGTGTTATACCAATTAGGAAGGGATCTCTGGTATATTTAAAAATTTAAAGAAAAGCAACAACTACATCTTCCATCTGTTCATACTGTAAGGCAGAATTCTGTAGCCAGCATCCCAAGTATCACACAACTCGTCCTTTTTCCTTTTCTTTTTTGATAATAACCCATAGACCACATAATGACTCCTTTCTCCCCTTTTTCAAAATTAATTAGATTATCAAAGCAGTTTGTGATATACCATAAAGGTCTGCTTGTCAAACATGTTTATGTTTGGAAAGAGATATTCAGGAAATTCTGCTCAATAATTAGCTTATATTTACTGACTATAGTTCTAAACATTTTTTTAATCTGACCATTTTATTTGGTGCTATTTACAGAAATAATCCTGGTTTTATAGAATCATTTTAAGGCAGATATATTAGGCCTTCCCCCCGTTGCATCAATTTCACTCCATTTCCACTCCTACAACTATGTACACTGTACATATAATATTGTGGCCTAAATATCATACTCCATGTGTATGAAGAATTAGATTGTAATCTATAGAAGCTCACTGTGAAATAAATCTGTTCATTTTATATGGGCAACAATGCTTTTTTTATTTTGTTATAAACGTTGTATCACAATACAGTGGGGTCTTGACTTAAGAACGGCTCGAGTTAAGAACATTTTGACTTAAGAACCACTCTCATAGGAAAATATTGACTTGACTTACGTACTTAGATTTGAGTTAAGAACTAAAAAAACCACGTGGGAGGCAGGGAAAGTGCAAAATTTGAACTTTCAGTTAACTGTTGGCCAGTGAAAAGGGTGCCTGTCTGCTGCCTCACTCCTCCCAGCGTTTAGAGAGTGGATTGGGAGTCAGACTTCAGACTGCCTGGTACTGCCTGGACTGTATTTTCCCTGCCTTCCCTGAACCTTTCTTGACCTAAGAAAAAAAGAAACAAAATATCCCCCTCTAGTGTGCGAAGGCGGAATAGCAGCTTCCCATTAGTTTCTATGGACGGAAAAGAGCAGAGACGGATCAAATGGTTTTCAATGCATTCCTATGGGAAATGCAGATTTGACCTGAGAACTTTTTGACTTGAGAACCGCCTTCCAATACGGATTAAGTTCTCAAGTCAAGACCCCACTGTATGCTACTTACATTAACTTCAGTGCCCTTTGGTATTCCCTCACAATATTTTATACATCATATTTATGTTTGTAATTTGCCTGCTTTAGAATCTACATATAGCTTCAAAGGAGAAAGACAACGGAAAATTATTTTAACAGTGGAACAAGTCAAAGATCAGCATTATGCTTTGGTGTTATGGGGAGCTGTAGCAGCCCACTATCCTCAACTTCAAAGGAAGAGAGGTAAGAAGCGACCACTGTTGTAACATAGTATATGTTAAACAATGGATTTGCATGATATTATTGTTGTACAGCAGCTGCAAACAATACTGGATGTCTTTCATTTGACCCTTTCTTCTCTGTTTTTGTACTGTAACCACTTTTGAAGTTAATCTTCCTCAAATGTTGGCTGATCTTCCTGAATTAGTAAGTTTTGCAATTTAGTTTCAGTAGGTATATAAAGAATTACATAGGCTTTCACATTATGCCATATTCCTAGAAATCATCTTGTAGTCTCAGATTGTTTTAGAACTAGCAAAACACCTATTGCTGTGGGATACAGTGACCGTGTAAAATGAAGGCATTTAAGTGTGGTCTACAGGAATTGTAGTGTGTAGAGATGAGCATGGATTGGAAAACAAGTTGCACACTTTGTCAAAAATCACTAATTTGTCCATTCGTATGGATCAATACCCCGACGAATCAGAATTAATTATTTTGGGAGGATTTTTTTATTCATTAAGCTATAAAATGCCCCCACAGGCACCTAGAGGCACCAAAACTGCAGAGAAGCTTCTTCTGACTCTCCTCTATAGTTGCTCCATGTTTGGTGACGATTGGGCTTCAGATGTCCAAGTTACATAGCCACAAAGGGGGGGGGGTCCCTCAGAACACCCCAGGCACCTAGAGACACCAGAATCATGCAGAAACTTTGTGTGACTCTCCTCTACAATACAGTATCTCCCAGTTTGGTGAAGATTGGGTTTCCTCAAGCCAGCTGCTAAAGGGCACTTTCCTGGGGGGACCCACTTTGTGGGTATATAACATGTCTGTAACCCAGTCTTCACCAAACATGGCAAGAGTGTAGAGAAGAGCCAGGGGAAACTCTTCTGTGATTTTGGTGTGTCTAGGTGCCTGGGGGGAATTTTCAAGCGGGGCTTTTTGTGGGTATATAACTTGGACACCCAAATCCCAAACTTCATCAAACATACAGGGTTTTTAGAAGAAAGTCAAGTAAAGCCTCTCTGTAATTTGGGATCTCTAGGTGCTTTGGGGGGCATTCTATATGGGGTTTTAAAGCCAAAAATGAATTGACAAATCGATTTGTCAATTTGTTAGAAAAATTCTAAATTTGTTATTTATGAATCATCCACTTTGATGCATCATGAATCAAAATGAATCACCATTTTTCTGATTCATGCCCATCTCTAGTAGTGTGTCTTTGTGCCCTTTATATGTTTTACCCCCCTAAAATATGGACTTCATGCATACTTAAGGTGTGGAAAAAAGAAAGCGAACAAAGCTTTTGATAATAATATAATAAGAAAAACAATAAGAGTATGGCAGAAATATAAAAGGAAATTTTATTGTGGGATTCCAATATGGCTGTTCCCCCCATGAAGCTCTCTCAAAGGAAATTGACATAAAGAATGATAAATGGTTAACATATAAAGATCTTCTCATAGAGGAAGATGGTGGACAACTAAGATTAAGAACAAGACAAGAAATGAATCAAGTAGGAATAATATGCCAGTGGTTTCCACACAGACAGCTATCAGAAAGAATGAAAATGGATAATAAATTAATAGGATTGGTTAAAGAACCTACGAAACTAGACAAGATAATATGGGGAAAAGAAAATCACCAAGTAGCAAAGTTGCATAAACTATTATTGGAAATAAATATTAAATAGGAACTAATTAAAGGAAATATGATAAAATGGATGCAGGAATTAGGTAGAACAGTTCAGACACAGGAATGGTTTAGAGCATGGATTGATAACAAAAAACTATTAATAAGTACAAATCTGAAAGAAAATTATATGAAAATATTATATAGATGGTATATGACACCAGAGAAATTGGCAAAGGTGAAGAAAAATGAGAAAGATAAATGTTGGAGATGTAAGACAATAAAAGGAACATTATATCATGAGGTGGGATTGTAAATTTATTAAGAAATTTTGGAAAGAAATAGAAAAAATAATCAGCATAGATTTAAAAATAAAAATGGAGATGAAACCTGAAACTTATTTGTTCAATATGGTAAAGTTAAACCCGAAACAAGAAACAAAAATTGTTTGTACATATTAGGAGCAGCCAGAATTCAAGTGGCAAAACAATGGAAAGACAAGGAGGAACCTTTAGTGGAGGATTGTTTAATAAAATTACAGGAACTAATATTAATGAACAAACTAACAGACTCATTGAAAGGAAAGAGTAGAACGGAGCACGAATCTCAATGGGGGAAAGTAAAGAATTATCTCAGAGAGAAATGGAAGAAAGATTCCAAACTTGTACCAAGTGACTTAGGCTTAAATTAGAAGCAGAACTGCTCTCAACAGAAGAAAAAACAAAGTAAAGCAGATTATTAATATGGATATAAAATAAGAATTAAGAAAGGTATTAAGATTGTGAAGAAAACAAATGTCTGGTGGAAAATAAGAAAGTAAAAATGTGAAAGACTTAGTGTTTTGCGAAAGAGATACTGTAATAGAAAGTTATTTTGGTTATGTTCTAATATTGTGATAATTATTTACTTATTTTCATAATTTCTTTTTTAAATGCAATAAAGATTAAAAGTTTTTTTAAAAAATATCCGTCCCCCCCCCCCCAAAGAGTTCCTGTTCATGAAAGCTGGACTGCCATCTCCTAGAGGTGGAGTTTTTTTTGCCCTCAGATGTCTTCATCAGATGGCTTGGCTGTTCCCTTTGGCCAAAAATTACATCCTGTTCATGCTGTCACACAATGTGACGAAGCCTAGGGAATTGGCTTCCTATGAATACTGTACCTGTGTTTTTTAGTATATGTTTATGATAACAGCAGTAATCTGTGTATGTTTTCTACAATACTGTCTAAACAGATAACTAAATCTTTATGTTTGGTTGTGATAGAGTAATGCTTAGAGTACATCACTGGAATCATGACTGATGTGAGATGCTTACTTTCTCTCAAGTTTAGATCTAACCCATAGTACTTCTGTAAGTTGTAGGGGCAGGGCTAGAAAAATAAATTTGAAGTTCTGTGAAATTGTAATGTATCTGAAATTTCTGCACTTTCTTGAAATAGTTTCAAATAATTAGATTAGAAGACTTTTACAATATTCTTTCAAGCTCTTTTCTTAAGGTCAGAAAATCTAGTTTATGTTTGCTGTGTTGATTATATGAAAGATGCAAGATTATTCTTGCATAATTTTGCAACATGTACTATACCTAGTACTTTGTGACTGTTGTTATTTAATGATTAAAAGACAGCATCTAGAATTTGAGATAAGATTTGTATTCTCAAATGTCCTAACATTCTCTCTGTTAATATGTCCATATGTTTGGTTTTTGTCAGGACTGTCAGAATCAGGAGTTCACTCTGTGCCATCCGGGTCATGACACAACTGACCATTATGACTTACAGCGTGGCAGCATGTGATCGCCATTCATGCTATTGAGTCTAGGGAGATAACTAGCCATGTGATGCTTATTTGTGCTGGAAATCAAAGTATTTACAATGCAAACTTTGATATGTGACAGTGCCATCATGGTTATGCAGAGAATGGCTTGCAGAGAATGGCTAGTAGCATTTCTTTTGCTCATGAGCAAATAGGCATGTGTTTGCTACTAATTCTAGAATTATTTCATTTTTATTGAATTTGAGCCTTCATCAATTGAGGGGAAATTCATAATGGAGAAACTACTCTCTTGTAATGCACCATCTTCTGTTGGAGAGCTTATGCAAAGTCCTCGCGCAATGGCCTTAGCAATGAACTAGAAAATCCAATAGTGATAGGCCCAACATGTGCAGTATATGTATAGAAACTTGTCATGTAGTTTGCAGTTATGCATGTCAGAATTTATGCAGACTTTACAACACATTAACATCTGGCAGAACAGATGCATTTGTTGGACAGGATATATTGCCAAAACCTTACTTCCTCCACTGCTCATAACATTTTCAAGCCAAAACATTTCTCTAATTCTGGCTGATCTATGAGAAGTGTTTGTTTGCACTCAGATTGACAAATGGGTATTATTCTTTTAAAAATTAATTAAAATATTTTAAAATTGAGTCCTGACTATGAGTCCCCTTTGCCCCACTTCATTAATAAAATATTTCTTTATCCAGGAAAGTTCATCTCACATTCTTCTTTCTAAAGCTCTCTACAAATATTAATGGCACATTAGAATGTAAAATTGTGAGTAGAATTTTTTCTTCATCTTTTTTTTTTCCAGATCATAAATGGGAATTTAAGTATTTGTTTGTAAAGCACAGTCCTGTCTCTGGTGAACTTGAACTGCACACAACTCCGTGGTCAACCCTTGAGTGTCTCTTTGATGATGATAGAAGAGCTTTTGAGTTCAGAGAGAAGTTTGAAAGGAGTGCCAAACCATTGATGAGTGTGACTGCTCTTGCTGCACATCTAGAGGAGAAGCGTTCAGGTGAGATTCTTATTCATTAGTGAGGCTCCCTGTGGCTTTATTTTAATCAGTGTACTCCCCCCTTTCAAATTGTGTGAGCAGATTGTGGCGACTAAACAAAAACCAGGGCAAACAAAAAGTGAACAAAATATCCAGTTGAATTAAAATGTTCACATCTTAATCAGATACCAGTCCAACAGAGGACATATTTGCTAAAAGCATTTTTAGAAAGAATGTATACAAATCAGGTAATTGGAACCCCTCAGTTGCAGGGTGCCACCAGGAATGTCACTCCCTGTTGGGAAATTTTGATTCACAGCTAGTTTTGTCTCCCACCTCCCTACTGATTGCTCCTCTGAAATGTAATGGTAAATTTCACTCCTGAATTTCAGTGGCATGTGGGGGGAATCCCTTTAAAAAGCAGGATGTGCTTGTTTTACAAGAGTTGGATTTATCAGCAGAAATTTATGGAAATTCCTTTAAAGAAAGCATTTTCTGCCTGCGTTAATGGATTGCATAGATTTGCCACTAAAATTCAGTGATTCAGTTTTTCCTGGGTTTCCTAAGTAGTATGGTTTTCAGCAGTGGGGGTGGGGATGGGGTGGGCTCACAGGCATTATGTAGCCCACCAAGCCCTGTGTCCTTCTAAAAATGCAGTCATAGATTGCAGTAACGTATGCATTTAACTAAGAAGCTCCACAAAACTTCCTATAGCTTAAGATTAGCTACTGTCTTGTTGATCTTAAATTTTCCTTGTATAGAGGTGATTCAGCCAGCAGTAATCTTTATTACTGTTTCCTTATGGCAGAAAAAGAATAATTTGATCAACTCTGTCCTGTTTTCACAGGAATGATCCAAATGAAAGCCTGTATCTCAGCACTGAAATTTACTATTGATGCCTCTCCACATGGACAACTTGTCTTTGATGCTACTACTTCATTTCAGCACATATATAATTCTCTTGCTCTGATTATTTTTGTGGGATGTGCAAAATGTGGACTTGAACTTCAGACAGATAGTAACAAGATCTACAAGCAGTGTATGAGTTGTTTGCCCTCTAACAAAATGAAGATATTCTACAGGTAAGATCATATTTTTGTATGGGGGACAAAGAGAAAGAGCTATTAGTATTTCCATTTTAAGGCTTACTCCCCACAATGGATCTTGCTTTCTAGAAAATGTATTGCAGCCTAAGATGCTTGCTCTCTCTTTTCTTTCCTTCTCTCTTTGCTTCAATATTATCATTTCTCTTTTTTTTTGTGGTCTTTCCTTTACACTTATAGATTCTCCACTTGCACAAACTTTGGAACTTTCTAAAGATGAAAGATCTCTTGAAAAATATGCATTGTACTGTTTTAAGAAACCATCTGAACCATATCAGCAACATTGTACTGGAAACACTAGGTGGCAGCAGGTGATAGGTTGTGCAGATATTTGCATTTTATGACAGCACAATTCTTAGTTCATCTGACTTTTAGTACAACTTGTTAAGGTTTGAAAGATTTGCCAATGGGATGTGTTGCTGGACTTCTAGCTCTTGTTTTATTTTCAAAGCTAGGTTGCAAAGAGTCTGTGCCAATTTTTCAGTCTAGCTGGTGCCTTGAGCAATACATCAAAGTCCCCAAGAGTGGCTTTTCAGGACATAAAGGGGATTCTAGGTGAAGGGAATCCTCAAAAGCCTGAGCTTCATCTTGAAAGTCTGCATATGGCTCTTTTGACCCTGTTCCAGAGTTTATAGGAACCAAGACATAATACCTTTTGATCAAATGGTCTACTACATATATGCTGAATAGATGAAAATTAGATTAATATGTATGGCTTTTCAAATATCACATATCCTCATCAGGACATTGTGTGGTGGCATTTCAGGGCAGCAGCTCTTGTGTACTCAGAACTTATGCTTTCAGTAAGCACAGTATAAAAGGGGTGTTTCACGTCACGAAAAAGTTCATAGTAAGCAGGATCTACATTGAAATTCAGATCAAATACCAATACAGTGGTGCCTCGCATAGCGAGGTTAATCCGTTCCGGATTAACCTTCGCTATAGCGAAACATCGCTGAACGGGACAGGGAAAGCCATTGGAATGCATTAAACATCGTTTAATGCGTTCCAAAAGGCTCCTTTACTCACCGTTCAGCGAGGTTTCCTATGGCCGGCAGCCATTTTTGCGCCCTCGTTAAGCGAGGGGAGGGCACAAAAATGCTGCACGCGGCCATTACGGAGCTTCCGGCGGCCATTTTGTCCACCGAACAGCTGATCGTCGGGGCTTCGTTTTGCGAAGATCGGTAAGCGAAACGCTTACTGATCTTCGTAAAGCGATTTTCGCCCTATCTAAACGATGTTGAGCGATCGCATTAGCGATCCAAAAAAACGGATCACTATGCGATTTCGTCGTTATACGGTGCGCTCGTTAAGCGAGGCACCACTGTAACTTTAAAGCAAAGCAAAAATGGAAAAGCTATTACTTTCAAGTATAGCCTTGACCAGGGAGAGCTACTATACCATTCTTGTGTGATTTCATAAGTTAAGCAGGATTGGACCTGGTTAGAACATGAATGGGAAATACTATGATTCTTCATGCAGGATGAGGGAAGAAGTCCTAGGAATCTCTGTAGATCCCATCGCAGCCAGTCAGAGATGTTAACACTGGCCTAGATGCACAGATGGAGGACTGAGTGTATGGTAGCTTTTTACATTCCTGTTAAAACAGTTTTAGTCAAATTTACCCAGTAATTCTCATAAAGAATACTTTTGACTCTCTGATGAATTTCCATAACTGTGGAGTAGCTATGTGGCAGTTTTCCCATACACCTATAAGGTTTATGTTATCTGCCCACCAGGTCTTGATTGGTGATAAGAATTTACAATCAGATTCACAATGGAGAAGGTAATAGTTTTGTTTTGGGCATATCAGGCCTGCTTCTCTATTAATCTATATATGGTATAACTGCTGGTATATATACAGGCAAACGGTAAGTGACCAAGCAGATTATAAGGCAATAAGTCATACTTTCCATACAGCATGATTTTATATTTATCTGCAGTGTATGTCTGGCAACCTGGATCTGTTCAATGTACTCATAAGTCACCTAATATCTGTTTTTAAAGTTTTTTTTTTTTTTGAAATGCATATACCCATCTAAGAAGACAGCAAATCCTTTAGCCTCAGTTTCTGGAATGGCAAATGTTTGACCTGCATTTAGCAGGTTCTCTTATTTAGGAAACTGTAGGACTTAAAATTATATTTCACTTTCCTGGTGCTTTTATCTCTTTGTATTCTGTGGCTAATTGAGAAAAGTCTTCAGCAACAACGCAAAATAACAGCCAGATTGATGGCTTAGAAAGAGAAGTTATTCCATTCATGTGTGTATGTCTGTTCATAAGTTTGTGTATCTGTTTAAAGCAGGAATGGGAAATCTTGTCAGTCAAATATCTGATTTGGTTTGAAGAAAGTACATTGTGGGACACATGCCATTAGCAAGCAGAGCCACCCATTGCTGGCATGGAGCCTCCAACAAAATTATGCAAATTCCATTCACTTTCACAGATACTCATGCACATGTACAGCACAAACATGTAAGTGAATACAGTGGTGCCTCGCTTAACGATGTTAATTGGTTAAAAAAACATCGCTATGGGAAAACATCGCTAAGCGAAACACCTTTTCCCATAGGAATGCATTGAAAACCGGTTAATCCGTTCCAATGGGAACGGATTACCATCCTTAAGCGAAAATCACCATAGGAAACATCGCTAAGTGAAACAATGTTTCCCCCATTGGAATGCATTGAACTGTCCGTTCAATGCATTCCAATGGGGGGGAAATTCACCAAAAATTAACGAAGACTCAGAACAAAGCCAAATTAAATTTGGAAATGTTTTACAAGGTGCTCTAACGATTCCATCACAAACACTCTTTTCCAACAACACAAGAGGCGACTCTATACATGGAAATCACCAGATGGGCAATATCGAAATCAGATTGATTATATTCTCTGCAGCCAAAGATGGAGAAGCTCTATACAGTCAGCAAAAACAAGACCTGGAGCTGACTGCGGTTCTGATCATCAGCTTCTCATAGCAAAATTCAAGCTTAGACTGAAGAGAGTAGGAAAAACCACTTGGCCACTCAGGTATAATCTAAACCAAATCCCTTATGAATACACAGTGGAAGTAAAGAACAGATTTAAGGAACTAGATTTGGTGGACAGAGTGCCTGAAGAACTTTGGATAGAGGCTCGTAACATTGTCCAGGAGGCAGCAACAAAAACCATCCCAAAGAAAAGGAAATGCAAGAAAGCAAAGTGGCTGTCCAACGAGGCCTTAGAAATAGCAGAGAGGAGAAGGGAAACAAAATGCAAGGGAGATAGGGAAAGTTACAGAAAATTGAATGCAGACTTCCAAAGAATAGCAAGGAGAGACAAGAGGGCCATCTTAAATGAACAATGCAAAGAAATAGAGGAAAATAACAGAAAAGGAAAAACCAGAGATCTGTTCAGGAAAATTGGACATATTAGAGGAACATTTTGCGCAAAGATGAACATGATAAAAGACAAAAATGGGAAGGACCTAACAGAAGCAGAAGACGTCAAGAAGAGGTGGCAAGAATACACAGAGGAATTATATCAGAAAGATGTGGATATCCCGGACAACCCAGACAATGTAGTTGCTGACCTTGAGCCAGACATCCTGGAGAGCGAAGTCAAGTGGGCCTTAGAAAGCCTGGCTAACAACAAGGCCAGTGGAGGTGATGGCATTCCAGTTGAACTATTTAAAATCTTGAAAGATGATGCTGTTAAGGTGCTACATTCAATAGTCCAGCAAGTTTGGAAAACTCAACAGTGGCCAGAGGATTGGAAAAGATCAGTCTACATCCCAATCCCAAAGAAAGGCAGTGCCAAAGAATGCTCCAACTACCGTACAATTGCACTCATTTCACACGCTAGCAAGGTTATGCTCAAAATCCTACAAGGTAGGCTTCAGCAGTATGTGGACCGAGAACTCCCAGAAGTACAAGCTGGATTCCGAAGAGGCAGAGGAACTCGAGACCAAATTGCTAACTTGCGCTGGATTATGGAGAAAGCCAGAGAGTTCCAGAAAAATATCTACTTCTGCTTCATCGACTATGCGAAAGCCTTTGACTGTGTGGACCACAGCAAACTATGGCAAGTCCTTAAAGAAATGGGAGTGCCTGACCACCTTATCCATCTCCTGAGAAACCTATATGTGGGACAGGAAGCAACAGTTAGAACTGGTCATGGAACAACTGAGTGGTTCAAAATTGGGAAAGGAGTACGGCAAGGCTGTATATTGTCCCCCAGCTTATTTAACTTATATGCAGAATACATCATGCGGAAGGCTGGACTGGAAGAAACCCAAGCCGGAATTAAGATTGCCGGAAGAAATATCAACAACCTCCGATATGCAGATGATACCACTCTGATGGCAGAAAGTGAGGAGGAATTAAAGAACCTTGTAATGAGAGTGAAAGAGGAAAGTGCAAAAAACGGTCTGAAACTCAACATCAAAAAAACTAAGATCATGGCCACTGGCCCCATCACCTCCTGGGAAATAGAAGGGGAAGATATGGAGGCAGTGTCAAATTTTATCTTCCTGGGCTCCATGATCACTGCAGATGGAGGCTCCAGTACTTTGGCCATTTCATGAGAAGAAAAGAGTCCTTGGAAAAAACCTTGATGTTAGGAAGGTGTGATGGCAAGAGGAGAAGGGGACGACCGAGGATGAGATGGCTGGACAGTGTTTGCGAAGCAACCAACATGAACCTGACACAACTCCGGGAGGCAGTAGAAGACAGGAGGGCCTGGCGTGCTCTGGTCCATGGGGTCAAGAAGAGTCGGACATGACTAAACGACTAAACACACACACACTAACAATTCCAAGCATTTAAAACAGGTTTCAAACATTTTAAGACACTTTTAAATGAGCAAAAACAGACATCATTAAGTGAAAATCGCCCATAGAGAACATCGTTAAACGATGCGGAAAATTCGTTTAAAAAACCCATCGCTAAGCGAATACATCATTAAACGAAGCAATCGCTAAGTGAGGCACCACTGTACTTAAATGTACACCTGTACCATCTCTTCTTCACAGCAGTCAGGCTTCTTTAAAAAGCCTCCATTGGTGCCAGTAGAGGCTTTTTTGTAACACGGTTGAAGCTTGTGTATTTCAGTGTTAATATATCGTGAAAAGGGGTTGTAGTGTCAGGGGTTGTTAGTTGTCCACACTCTAGCAGACCCCCATCAAGGCCTCTAGCACTACAGTTATACTTTCTAAAGCCTTGTGGCAGTGTTCAAGGGGAAAAGGAACATTTCTTACCTGTGGTCATTGAGCTGAAAAAAGATTGAAGGAAAGAGGTTTTGCAGCCTTGTCCTCTATGCCAAGCTTGAGTGTGCTTCTTGCAGCACATCTCCTTATGTTTATAATTTGTGTCCTTCTGCCCAACTCTGGGCATGTGGTGGGGTGTGTGTATACACATGCACATTTATTTATTATTAATTTGATTTCTGTACTACCCATCTTACCAGTAGTTACTCTGGGAGGTTTACAACATTGACAATTAAATAAATAACACAAACATAACCAAGATGAAAACTAAAAATAAGTTAATATTACATTTTAAAAGAATTTTCTCAAATTAAGTATGTTGGCCTATTTCATTTGGAAAGATTAATTTATTTTTAGCTGATTAAAAGTGTAAGTGGGGAATTGAAACAGCAGATATTGGCTCACATTAATTGCTTGCATACAGTGAGTGGGTTGATCTGGTGCCACAATTAATCTCAAGTGTTCTGAACTTTAAAGCTGAGAATGTCCTTGACTTGAGAAAGTGCCAAAGGTTAGATATGCTTAAGTATATATTGGCTGAAATCTTGTTGCTTATTGTAGTAAGTTGCAGCTAGAGTAGGGTCATTGAACCAGTGTAATTTATAGAGGAATTGAATAGTATGATTGATTTTCATAGTATAGGTTTGCTCACAGGCATTTCTAGAAACACTTTTTGCTCCTTCACTTCTTTTTCAGAGCTCAGAGTTCAGCATATTTCTGGAACCTATTTTTCAGTGCTGAATTTTAGCACTGTAACATATGTTGCCTGCACATGTTAGCTATTGTGAGACAATACACAATATACTACTAGTTTCTGGGTTCTGCTTTTGTGATACCTTCCTGTTTGAAACCACAAATGGAGCACCTGGCGAGGCACATCCTTCAATATATACCTTTAATTTCTGCTATATTTGAATAAATGCCTGTACAAATAAATAAGTGAGTCCCTGTTCTTCACTTATGTGGGATTTGCACAGAAGTGCATTTTGGCACAGCCCATGCTGACACTCAGTGGTCTTAAGGACTGTCATTTCAATTGTAGACTGGAGGATAAGATTTACCACAAATTAGATGTATATCAACAAAAATTAAATGGGAAATGAGCAGTGTCATTTCTGGTGCCTGGTTTTGTATCTTCATGGCAAACACATGAATATTAATCACAATCCAAAACAAGGGGAAGAACTCCCTTCCCAATATTATTCCCAGAAAAGGAACTAGTTTAAAAAGGAACAGGTCTCTGTTCTGCATCCCAAAGATATAAAGAGCCTTTCTCTTTATGTATATTGTTAAAAAAAAGGCAGTTCCCTTCAGCTTGTGTTTCATTATATTGGAATTTTTGTACGTGCTTTTGTACGTGCTTTTAAATTAGAAGGACTTTCAGTTAGGCAGGTGTTAACTTGCAGTAGCCTTTTATGTATGTTTCAACATGTAAAATACAAGCATCTCTGATTTTTAAGTGATCCTTAGATTGTGAAAAAATATGGTTTTCACTTAATGATAGGCCTTTGACTTTGCTTGTATCTGCAGTATCAAATTGAGGTATTGTGGGTATACCGTATTTGCCAGT